TTGATGTTTCAGGACCCCACTTTGGGTCCCGACCCCAACTTTTGGAAACACTGTTCTAGTGATCACTGTCTCCTCAGTTAGTTTAGTTGGAGGATTGTTTCCTAAAAGCCCCTAACACCACTTGTTGTTTCAGGAGTGAACAATTCTTTGGGAGCCCCAGCGACACCGCCTCGGCAGCAGAGGGTGTCAGAGAGCGCCTCCTGCTGGTCGAAGAGAGGCGTCTACAGCTGCAGGAGATGAAGCTTCATAAGAAACAGGAGGAAGAAGTGCTAAATGGCCTGGAGGGGAGGTTAGATGTGATTGGAGAGGAGCCCAGTGAGAAAGAGGAGCAAGATGAAGAGGAGAAAGAGGCGGAGCCACAGGAAGATGACCTGGAGAGGGCTACACAGGACTGCTAATGGATGATGTCATACTCAACAGCTTTAATGAAGCTTGTTGTTAGTTAAAGGCTGCTGACCTCTGACGTGACTCCTGCAGCAGAACATTTTCCTGACTGATGGTATGTCTTTCCCTCTCCCACCCTCAGCAGTCTAAACATCAAAAAGAAAAATATTGGATTTATTTGCTGGAATGTTTAGCTATCATCGAGAACAATAATGGAAAGTTCACATTCTTCTAACATGTTCCCCTAAAACCAGCGCTCTGTCCTTTTCTCTTGATGTGAGCAGAACTTCCATGGTGCTTGTTGGTGGTCCTCATGCTTTCTGTAATGTCCCTTACATTTTTACTCACAGAAAACTTATGGCATAAAATGAATTTTAATTTCAATTTAGGCTGATTGAGTGGATATTTGTTGTTGATAAAAAAATGTATTTCCTCAGGACTGTTTTAAAAATGACGTGTCTTTAAAGAACAGAGGGTTCTCAATGAGGCTGTTTTTCAGTCTTTCTTATATGATGGAATTCAAACGTCTATACTTGAAACAACAGACTGTCCTTCCGACCAGAAACTTTTGTGTGTTCAGTGTCCAGCACTGAGACTGAAAATCCTATTTGCACAGCTTCAGAAAAGGGCAGAATTTTGTTTCCTTTTAATATTTTTTAAGTTAAACCTGTTTTTAATGCTTCCTGCTGTAAGCATCTATTTTCTGTATCCTGCGTTCTGTCTTTACTATCCATTAACAAAAACTGTACAAAACATTATCCTCTAAATAAAGATATTTAAACCGTTGTCGACAAACATTTTATTAAGTTTGTAAAAGTAGCATTTTAACAGTAAATTTGCTGTCCACATAGTCATGGAAGCAAAACCAAATACCACCCTATACAGGTGCAGCTCAGAAAATATACTGTGAAAAAGTTACTTTATCAACCATTTCAGAAAATGAAACCATATAGATTATAAACCACTATCTTCCTCAGCAGTACCAGGCTGATCACCCACCACATTGATGCAGTATTTTTTTTAATCATTCATTAAAAAAACAAAAAGAAAGAAATCTATATAAAAAAAACTTAAAGGAAAGGAAGCAGAAAGAAAAAAAATCTTATGTCTCTTTTTTTCCCAAAAACAAATTCAAACAATACCAAAATAGTTAAACAATGTCAAGCCCTTCCTCAGGGGCGGACTGGCAATTGGGAGTACCGGGACTTTTCCCAGTGGGCCGGCGCATCACTGGGCCGGTGCAGCACCGAGGGGGAAAAAAAAGGGGGAAAAGGGTGTTGTTTCGCTCAATACCAGTAGATGGCAATAATGCGCCAATTCATTGTTTACCAACCACAAAGACCGAAGAAGAAGAAAAGTTTGATGAAGAAGAGGAAGAAGAAGAAGAACCGGACGGGAGGAGAACAAAATTGAGAAAAGCATCTATAAGCAAATTCAGCCAAGTGTCAGAAACTGACATTTATTTTCTGCTGGTGCATCATCATCATCCTCATCCTCACTGGAACCTACGTCTGGAGAACAACGTGACCGCACTGCACAGCTCACACCGAACCAGGTTYCCCGGCCCCCCCTCCTCTTCAAAGTTRGTGGGTGGGCCAGGTTAGGGAGTGGCAGACGCAGGCCGGAGAGCAGAGTCCAAAGTCCACATAGAAATAAAACACAGAAACAAAAAGGATTATAGAAAAAACTTCTACACTTGTTATCAAAACATTCTTCAAAATTAATGCCAGATAGTTTGTTCAACATTTTACTTTGTCAAAGTTCATAGTTTCAGAGCAGCTGTTTTTTCTACATCTCTATTACTGTTCATACAATAAAAAAAATAAAAGAAAGAAAAAGTTTCTTTTACAGAACATATGACAGCGTGTTTGTGAGTTTACTCATCTTTTCTCCATGGGTGGGGTGGGGGGTGGCCGTCTGACTCAATTCGTGCCCACTCTTCCCCACCAGAACCCGGCCCGGTCGTGGTCATCACTTTGACCCTGGTTGAACTTGGATCCAAAAACCGCCCAGGCCATCCACAGGTGTGCTCGTTAGCATTGATTGAGGCGATGATGCTGTGAAAACCCTGCCAGAGAGCGCCGCTCCCCCCTCTCTCTCTTGTCTTCCCACATCAGTCTTGTGACGGTCACTCATGCCGATGTTTTGCAGGACTTTATCGTTGATGCTGCCATTTGTCACAGCTTGTCAGAAACAGCAAAATCAGCCTGATGTAGCGTCAGGCTGATTGATCTGACGATGGGGTGCTGTAGAGTGGCAAACAGCTGCTGGCTCTGTTACTATCAGACTTTGAAGCTTTGTTTCATCAACTTTCACAGTCTTCTCCGCAGATGGACAGATAATAGTCACTCGGTTCCAAGGTCTTTTGCTGCTGTTGCATGTTGAAAGAATGTTGGGGGTGGGTTAGTGTTAGGCAACCAGGCAGAAATGACAACATTATCTCGCCTTCATGGTGCTGGTCTGTGGATGATCTTCTTAGCGCTGGCCTTTATAGTCTTCTGGTCTCAGCATCACTGTCCATTTGTCCGCGTGTCCATCATTAGTCCAGGTCTCGGGTCTCGGCGGTTGGGAGTGGGCCCGGGAAAGAGCAGAGGACCATCAGGAAAACCAAACTCCCCCGTTACATAAGAAACCAAGCACACACACACACACACACACACACACACACACACACACACACACACACCAAAGAAATTAATGAAACAGTTTTCTCTATTCATTCAACAGCATGCAGATAATATCAGGCATTTTAAACTTTTTTTTTTCAACGATGCCCTTTAAWGCTGCTTCAACAACCTTCATAAAACAAACCTCAGACAACCAAAAAAAAAATAAAAATCATTTTTTTCCCTTTTCCCAGTCTGTTTGAAATACTTTGGTGTATATATATTTTTTAAATGGCATGTAAACAAGTCGTGCATTCTATTTCAAGTTTGAATGATTTATTACATTTTTTACCTCTCTGCATCTTATTTTAAGATAAAACAAACAAAAAAAACACTCTCCCCTTGCTTCAGGGAATTGAACAAATCCCCACTCTATATTGACACAAAAATCATTTGTAACAGAAAACAAACAAATGAAAACACTAGTTCAGCAAATTCCTTTAAAAAAACCCTTAGTCACTTATAAATGCAACCGTTTTTGTGCATATGTTAGGGGTTTATGAAAAAGAAAACAAAACGGGAAATCTGTCGCCTCCGCGCGCCCCCTCCTTTCAACATATGGTTTACAGTGGGGGGGGAATGACCAGGCCCGGGTCACCCCACCCCACCCCACCAGGCCACACCCACAGGAGGTGACGTTGCGCGGCCGAAACAGGAAAACCCCAATCTGCTCCATTTAACAGTCCCGAAAATCAGAGAGACTAAAACATTCTTCTTGATTTAAGCATTGAATCACGTTCCACTAAGCGATCCCGGAAAGCAGCCGAGCTGTTTTAAAACTGAAACAGCCACCGTCGGGGAAGCCAACTTATCAGACTCCATACCTGCAGACACTTTTTCACGGCGTTCAGCGCCATATTTGTTTACCATGGCCTGTGCTCAAAAAGAAGCTCGCTGGTCGCATTCTTTGGCTGAACTCGTGCCCTGTGCACTACCTAAGCGACATTTTCAAACAAATGTCAAGACGGCCGTCACTTGGAATGACATTCTAGCCTACAAATGTCTCCTCAATAGAAACAAAAACGGAAAATTACTAGAGGTGTCCCGATACCGATACCAGTATCGGTATCGGATCCGATACCAGCATCAAGTACTCGTACTCGTACTCGTA